GTAAGTAAAGACACCTTAATCAATAAACACCATTACAAAACAAACAAACAAAACTTTGTGAAGGACATAAAACAAGAAAAATGCCATGCCTCTTTCGGTTCTGCCAGATGGCCTGGAGAAGGATTCCTGAATTCTACGTCTGACAGATGGCTGTTCGTTATGTCACCCTGAAAGACAAATTGAAAAATAAAATTCACAAAAGTGATCACAAAATTGGTAATCTTTAGAGTATGGTTAGAGACTTGGAACAGAGCAAAACTGGAAAACTGCCTTATAGAGAGTACATTAAATCTTGCGACAATAATACACTCACATTACATTCCAAATATTATCAAAAACATAAGATTTATTCTTTGCATACAGACAGTATTTATAATCAAATGTGCAAAAATGTACAGTCAATACTTTACATTTAAAGCTGAGGCCATGGTTGAGCAATATTCTCCATCCAGATATGTGCCTAATTTCATTGTGCATTACCTCACCTGCACAAAAAGTTAATTTTATTGTAGTGTAAGATATAAACACAGTCAATCACAGAGCCGTTTTGGGATATTATGTTAACACTTATGGAAAACATAACCTGACTTGGACCTGAAATATTATGAAAGATCCTTAATGGTCCGAACCAATAAAAGGTCCGTGCAGGAGTAGCGCAAGATTCGTTCCGCTTTCGATTCGCAGATTCGTTCCGCTTTCATTTTGTTTGACTTTTGCAACGTTGCGGTCGCGTAAGCGCGACTTATAACAAAATCTGGTCTCACCGGCGGAGAAATGGTCGCAATCTGAAATTCTGCCAAATTAATTTTATCCAAACTCAAACCTTTCAGTTGAAAGTGTACGAATCATTTATTCCGGTTCCTGAGTCCAATTACAAAACTCAAATCACATTTATAAAATAATACAAAATGTACTTACCAAACAGCAGATTTGTAGTAGTTCGTCAACTTTTTGTACAACAAATTGCCCCCGATCATCAAGTCGCGGGACACGACGTCGCCGTCGGACCAATGTTTGCTGGGTAGCGTCTGATCCACAAAACGTGTCATTTGATGTTTAATCAGCGTCCTCCCCAGCGCAAGGAAATATGTGATTTTATTAACGACCTCCTCAATATTATGTCTGACCGACACAACACGTCATGGGATGTTTTATCAGCGTCCTCTTCGGCGCGAGAAAATATGTGGATTTATCATCAGGTTTGTTCATTCTGAATCACGAAAACAGTTCATTGGATTATCAACATTGTTCAGCGTGTGGAAATATGTGAATTTATCATCATTGTTCATTCTGAATCACGAAAACAGTTAATTGGATTATCAACATTGTTCAGCGTGTGGAAATATGTGGATTTATCATCAGGTTTGTTCATTCTGAATCACGAAAACAGTTAATTGGATTATCAACATTGTTCAGCGTGTGGAAATATGAGGATTTATCATCAGGTTTGTTCATTCTGAATCACGAAAACAGTTAATTGATTTTGAGGATGCCGTTTCTTGTGGAATATCATGCATTCATCACAAGGAAATTCGAGACATGAAGTTTTATAATTTCAACTGATCTGAGGAGGGCGCAACGTTAACTGGATGTAAACAGAGAACTTGTAACGTCTTTTAAACACAGGAGGAGAATCGTGAAAGCATTCTGAACAACATCTGATAAGGTAACAAATATTATACAAATATTATTTTGACGTTATTATTATTTTTATTCACTTGATTGTTATATATATATATATATATACCCAGATAGCACTGAACGTCTTGCCGACGTTGGCAATTGGAGGGCACCAGCGGCAAAGTATCGGGAGGGGATTTTCCCCTGCACAACAAAAAACTTTGGTGGGTAAACCATCGGCGGGCCGCGGGATGAATAGCCACTTTCATGCACAACTCCGGAGATCGGTGGAGGAACCGTGATGAACCATTTTGCCGATCCCGCTTCTATTTTTTTAAATAAATAATATCTGCGCAACCGTTGGTCCACATCAACACTCAAAAAAATGATGTGTTGGCTTTACTTAACTTTTTTTTGTAAACAGGTTCCACCGGTTCCACATAACTTTGTTTTGTTAAACAAACAGAATTTGTTCATGTAACTTCAACATTATGGAAGTCATTTTAAGCCATCCAATCAAACTCTGAGCTGAGTGTTAAAGTTAATGAGACAATTAAGTGAATAATTTAGTGATGATTGAGCATTATTGAAGACACCTGATGTTAACAAGCAGAATCACTGAAGGAGAAAATCACAAATTGTAAGCCACCGTTATAGAGATCAGTGTCTGCTTTAGTTGGGCTCTTGACCCCTATATTATTAACTTTATATTATGTTTGGCTGTACATGAGTTATAACAGCTAGATGATCACATAGAAAAGGTGGAACTGTGGATTGAACCACCACACTTCCGGTTTGTAGTCAAACTGCATGAACCACTGTTAAGTTTACCTTATGGATCATAACAGCACTGCTGTTGTAAAACATACAATTTTAGCATTTTCAATGAAATTCAAATGATTAAATCAATAAACAAAAACATTTTCTGGGTGCATTCTGGGTGCCACCAATCAAAATTCATTCATGGCTCCCATCATGCATTTTAGCATGAATAAATAATGAGCTTAAGACACCTAAAGCAGAATCACAAGGAAAAAAAATCTAAAATTTTAAGCCACCGTTATGGAGATGAGTGTTTGCTTTAGTTGGGCTCTTGACCCTTTTATTATTAACTTTATATTTTAATTTGCTGTTGCATCTGAGTAATACCTGCCAGATGAATAAAGATAAACAATTATTAAATGATATTGGACATACAATGACATTCATCATTTGAAATTTATGTCTGTGATTTATTCTTTTTTATACTGCATAACTGAAATTCTACATAAATATCCAGAATGTTAAATATAATATAATGGATTTCTCAAAAGTTGTATTTTTACAAAAAAATATTTCTTTAAGGCACACACAGACCTCAAGATTCAGTCAATGCTTCTCAACAACGGTGACAAGTAGAATATTCAATTAGGAAAAGTAAATTACATAGACAATTCAGATCATAATTTATTCATACCGCAATGCATGATGGGAGCCATTAATGAGTTGTGATTGGGGGCAACAAGGACTATTAATGTCACCACGATTGAGATAGACAGGCTGATTATTGATATCTGTTTCTACATAAAGATTAAAGTGATTTGATCAGAATAGTTTTATTAAATATTTTCTGTTATAAGAAAATACAAATATGCTGTACAATCACTAAACTGTTGCTAGCAAGTTAGTCCTAACCATCAGAATTACGAATTTTTGGAATTTTCAGATCACAGCTTGATTATGTCAAAACATAACCAACACTATCAGATCACAGTTTTCTTTGTTCATTTGACTGTTATAAATCAATAACAGCAGCCAAACAAAGTTTAAAGTAAAAGTATAAGGATCAAGAGCCCAACTAAAGCAGACACTGATCTCCATAACGGTGGCTTACAATTTGTGATTTTCTCCTTCAGTGATTCTGCTTGTCATCATCAGGTGTCTTCAATAATGCTCAATCATCACTCAGTTATTCACTTAATTGTCTCATTAACTTTAACACAGCTTCAGTGTTCATTTAACCCTCAGCTCAGAGTTTGATTGGATGGCTTAAAATGACTTCCATGATGTTGAAGTTACATGAACAAATTCTGTTTGTTTAACAAAACAAAGTTATGTGGAACCGGTGGAACCTGTTTACAAAAAAAAGTTAAGTAAAGCCAACACATCATTTTTTTGAGTGAAGACCTTCACGCGCGTGCACACGTTTTTATGACGGTGCGCTATGCGCGTGAGTGATCTCAGCATCGTCTACACTACAGCCTACAGCTAAGTCTACAGCAACGGACTCTGTGAGTATGTTTATCCTTTTCAAACACACCGTTTTCAGGCCAGTAAGTGTTTATTTTGTTTTATGTACTTATTTTTTCATTGAAAAATATAATTTTGTTAGATAACGTCGAGTTTTCTGAGAAATGTTTACGATACGGATGACAGAGATTGGCGGCGGAGGATCAACAGTTATTTTCTAACTGTTGACTTTAGTAATTATTAACTGTTTTATGTTCTCGCATTAAATATTTTCAATTAGTTATTTTTGACAGTAGCCTATGTATTTTTAGACATGAGGGGAACTCGTTTTTCGTCAGTCTGAGGATAACCTAAAACAACCAGTCTAAACTAATAAACGGTCGTAAAACTATGGACTGACTTTTTTCCAAACAATCATACATCTGTCCATTTATAATATTAACCCCTTACACTCAAGGGATTTTTAATTATTTTGTTTAAGTGACATATGCTTAAAATTAAAGCAGCTCTTTTGTTGTGCGTTTACCGTGAAAAGTAGACCTGTCAATCAAAGACCTAGTTTAGTACAAGCGCGCATGCCACTAGACAGTCATACAAAGAAGTGGTTAGCTATAGTAAAGTGATAGTAAGTGAAGACACACAGCTATTCATAAAAAATAGAGCCTTAACCTTTGTTAAACAAAATAGAATGGTCTTTTCTGTTTTTTTTTCAGTGAGTGATTGATCTAGAAGTCATCCTACAGTTCTGAATTGCCATTTTCTTAACATACTGTTTTAGTCAATAAAGATAAATTGAGTGCACATTAATTCACAAAGGCATTTGCAATATATTTGACTCCTTTTCATGTTTCGTCTTTTTCTCAACAGGAGCTACATACACCCCAAAGGCTCTTTTCAGAGCCCAGGCCCATTTTGCACAGCGTCTTTGGCTTTGTACAGTAAGTATGTGTTTTAATTGACCTCAAAGACAACTGAAACACTATCTTTAACTAATCTAGTTAAAAGTTATTTTGCACATGATTTCCATTACACGAGAGTAGATGTTAAAACTTCATGCAGATTTGTACTCGGCTTTCGCCAAGATTAGCACAAACTAAGACGTAGCTTTATAGTAAACTATGCTTTTCCATCCATTTACACTTTTTTCCATATGTTGGTGTGACTCCCCTTCTGTCCGGCATTACGGCTGCAGTGTACTTGCCGCGTCAGCACACACGACGGCTGGAACTACAGTATGGTCTTCCCAGTGGACCAGCACCACATCCATCTGGATTGAGACGAGTAGGGGACATCTCTAGGGTCTTCACATATTGATACACACGTATGTAATAACTTTCCCCTGTTTGCTTGTCTTGATTTTTGGCATCCTAAGATCCTAAAAAATGTGACCTTTACCTGTCTCTGCCTTTACTGTCTGTACTATTAATTTTGCATCAGGAAAGCCTATACCTTATAGTGGAGCGAGTGGACTAGTAGCAAAGGAATGGTTTACAGGTAGGCCAGGGCAGTAATGTAGTGGAAATATTTATCTTTGACCTAAATAAGGCTACAGGAGAACTCCATTGTCAACATCAGGGGCTCGTTCTTCGTACGTCGCTAACTCAGTTAGCTGGATTTGATTGTTGGCGATTTGGCATGATCTTGGATCGTTTGGTTCTTCGACGCTCATCCTGGACTTGCTGTCATAGCAACAGGTGCGCTAGCTTGAGCCTGCTCGCGAGCAGGCTTATTTCATGTAAACAGGATTAGATCGCGGGTGATACGGGAAGTCCTTCAGCGCAGCGCGATAGTGTGTAGCCTAATTTCTGAGATTTATTTTTGTTTTCTCGTGAAATGATCGTCGTGAGGGTGTCGTTTAAATACATTATTATTTTGTTGGAAATGCACATTAATGTTTGATTCGATATCGGGCTTCAACAACATTACAAAATGTTTGCATTGCCCTAAAATTATTTGCGAGTGGTTTCCTTTACACTATTGGAGATGCGGAGAACTTGATAAGCTTTCTGTCGTGCCATTCACAAAGTAGTGCTCTTAGTTTTTTTTTTTTTTTGCCACAATGACATGAGCTTTGGCCAACTAAAGGGAAGATTTCAGGGTCTAAAAAGCCTGAGGGTTGCACCTGACAGGGCCTGTGACATTGCATGTGCCATATTACACAACACTGCCAACATCAAAAAAAAAAAAAAGTTTCATTAAGCCTAAAATAAAAGACAAGACAAATTTGCAAAACTCTATTTGCTTAGAGTTTTATTTCAATTGTTCTTTGTAAAGAAAAGCCAGTTATTCAGTCATCTTTTTAAAAGATATTATGCAAGGTCAGCAGTAGTACTCTGTGTGATTTTACTCTGAAGTTTATTTTGAAGCAATTCTATTTCTAATGCAATTTTTTCTTAGTCAAGTTCTGTTTCTCCCCCTGATTTTTGTTTTTTCAAAATACTCTATTTTCTGTTGAAGACTCATATAGGGGACGAATTTAACCCTGTGTCGTTTGTGTCACACATGCCTCATGCAACAAATAAAAAGCAAAAGTTGTCTCTACACTGCCCACCCCTGTATCACTGCTGTGTGCAGACTCTTCTGTAGGCCTTTCTGTACATGTGGACTCCTCTCAGAAATAACAGGCATAGGCACAAGTAGAAATCAATTAAAGCCATCAATTAAATTAAAGTTCTTCCTCCAAAGGACAGTCATCTGAGAAGTTTTCTTCACTCTCCAGTGCAATGTGATTGATAACTCATGGCAAAATATTTTTACATTAACATAAGTTTATCAGTTTTTACTTTCAAAAGACAAAGCAATTTATCATTACTCAAGATTTAACAGCTGAAATGACTAAACCAGCCAATTTGGATTATAGGTCTACTTCATTTAATGCAGCAACAAATTATTTCATAGTGTACAAAGATAATTTAAATCTCATTTCCCAGTGATGAAGGTGTTGCTGCTACTGGTCCCTGATGTGGGTCTGGAAGAGCTGAACCCAGGGATGCCCTTCACAACAGGGCAATTCACATTCAACCCAAGGGTCAGCTCTTCTGCCAGGGTCAGGAGCATCATTATTATTTTTTTCTCAGCCTTTTTCCTGGTTGCTTTTATAAACAGACAATCATTTATTTAACAGTGCCTTTTTAAAAGAGACTAGTAGGCCTATAAGGCCTAAAATTACCATTAAGTAGAATATTTTTGTACTTCACTTTCACCATGTCCATTATTATAGTGCGGTGACTCGACATTACAATGAACAAAGTAATTATGAAATTATGAAAATAATAATAAAATAATAATAAGTTATTAAAACATCTAACATGGTCACCACAAACGCATTTAATTTGTCTTCTAGTTTTGCCAGCACTCTCTCCTGGCTTTTGCACACTTTGAGGTGTTCCCTGGCGTTTTAATTAAAGACTGAAATTCGGCATAACCTTGCATTAAAAGCGCTTGCTCTGCTTGGGGGAAAAACTGGGCGTGTTCTTTGGCCATGCTGAACAGCCAATAGCAGCGCTGCTGATCACTGGTTCTGCTATCGATACATGTACCCTTTTAAACCAACGCGAGAACGCGCAGTTATCTCAGATAACTCAATCCAGCGATACTAATCATAAACAACAGGTGTGTTCGAAGAACCCAATTAGCCGGATCATGGTTAGCACGATGATATCATCTTAGATCTCTCATTTGATCTCGGATGTTTTAAGCAACGTACGAAGAACGAGCCCCAGGTTAATGCTGAGTGCTGTAACGTTGCAAATTTTATGTTTATGTTGGTATAGATATTTGTCAACTGTCTATCACTGTCAATAAAAGGTATTTTTTGTCACTCAGCAAATATGATTTATTTGGTATATAATTTTTCTGGACACGATAATTTACATTTGCATGCTTGTTTATTTTCCTCGTCGTCTCTCTCTGTCTCTCTATACCAAAGAGACTGGATGACAAACTCTCGGTTTCTTAGCGTGAACTAGAGCTTAGATTCTCTGCCCGAGCAAGGACTTGACCCGACCTGGGCTGACACTATCCTCGGGTCGGGCCTTAGATCTAGAGACGTGCACTCCCAACGCAATAGAGTGCGGCGCTGCACTAGATTCGATGGCCGAGTGCAAGCGGTAATGCACTCACTCTGTGTGTGCGGGTTGCGGGAGAATAAACCGATTTGCGGTACTCCCGCAAACTAGAAATATTTATTTATAAAACATATAAAAACTAATAGATTTTTAGTCATCTGCAAGAACAACTAAAACAAAGTAGTAACGATTTACAGGCTAGAGTTTCTATTTATAACATGTTTGCATTATTGAGCGATGTAGCCAATCACATGTTGATTTCTTGAACGCCAATCAGAAGCATTTAAGATATACTTCCCTCACTGCTCAAAACAGACTTTTTTTTATTCAGTGATGAATTCTGTATGCTGGCAAATCCTCTAATTATAACAAACAAAGTGTAGCCTAGATATTATATGAGATTCATTGTGCAGTCAGCTTCATTGGTAATAACAGAGATGAGTGAGATCGTGATGAACTGTCAGCTTTTTTGGAATTATTAAGGGAGCCCATTCAGTCATGCCAGACAATGCACGCAGTAGCTGCTTGCTTTATGTTAAATTAACAGTGGTTTGTGCGTTAATGTTTTAATAACAAATAATTTAGGGTATGGTCGGGTTTTGTTTACAACCATCTTATTTGTATTTTGGGTATTTATTCAAGTGCATTTTCTGTTAACCGGGACATTGCTTTTATTGTTTTTTGGTGGTTTTGTTCATTTATTGTGTATATTTAAAATGTTTTCCAATTTCAGTGAGCTTCATATGTTTTTTGACTTTTTGATCATCCTCTTTGTATCACACAGAGTATGTCACCCATGTCATATTTCTCTCTGTTCGATGTGATCAATATGATAACTAATCTTTGTAAAAACGTTTCATTTACAGACCATTGCAACTTAGATCACCATCACCACCACCATCCCCTGCATCAGACACCCTAAATCGTGCCCTTCATCAGACACCCTACAGTAAATGCACCACAAACAACACAGGCAAAGAAGAAGAAAACACACGACAAATCTCCTCCAGCCCATCTCACATCATCATATAGTAAAGGTAAGTGTCCCCTCTGTAGTAAACTGCATCAGGTCCCTAAACTCAAGTAGACACAGTGTGCTGCACAGGTCCACAGCGCATACCATAGTTTGGTGTTCCAGATATGATTTTGGAGTTTATATTGGTAGTGTGATAAGTTAGCCAAGGTATCTTTCCAAGAGGCCGCAGTTAATATTCAAGAAGGAGGACTGGAGGACTGATATGGAAGCACATGGGTAGCAATATTCAATTTGAAATGTAATATGCAAAATGACAATGCAATGCCATTTTACATATTGCATTGTGTATTTAAATTTATATTTTACATTCTAGCAACGTTTGTTGCAAAATGAAAATGAAATTACATAATTTACATTTGCCATTTCATACACTAGTTTTAATATGCATATTGAAACGCTTTATAAGTGTCAAAATTAAAATGAAAATGCATTACAGAAATGATTAGATATGTGTAACATGTTCAAGCAAAAACTGTGGCAAATTTAATGATCATTCAAATGTTACTTTTCTTAATTGCGTTTACACTCACAGTCAAGACACTTGCGATTGCATTTTCATGAAATTAATTTTCATTGAAATTGAATATTGCTACCCATGTGCTTCCATAGACTGAAGGCTTTACTGACTGTAAGCTATTTAAGACGCAGACAAAGAACACACTGACACACACTCGCAAACACACACACAAACACATATAGAGCACAGAACAGTTCTATGCAAAGTGGGGAATGACAGAAAAAGTTTGAGAACCACTGATGTGGAGTGACACTGGGTTAGCTCTGTTATTTTGACATGGGTTAAGATGAGTTGCTGCTGATAGAAATGTGTTGCAATTACTCAGCTCACTGACATTAGTTTATATAATTGTGATAAACTTGACTTACTGTTCACTCCAATAATTTGTTTTTTCTCTATTTTCTAGTGACGCGCCGGATAATAATGACGGCCTGTGTGCTTTGCAGCCTTTTCCAGGGATCCTTCAGAGGACTAACAATGGTACGATATTTTATATGTAATGTATGCTACTGCACTTCTTACTCAGAACATCAGACTAAATTAGTAAAAGTATAAATTTGCTTTATTTATTTTTTATTTTGTTTCGTTTAGGTGCTGTGTTAAGAAATCCTACCCAACAAAATTCCACTGAGGCAGATGTAGAGATGACTGCGAGAAACTGGCTGCGGCTGAGGAGGGACAGGAAGCAAGAGGGCGAGCATCTTAAAGTGAAATAATTGATTGGACTGATTTTTCCTGTTTACCTATTTTGGAGGGAATTTCTTTTTGTTGTTGTTGTACTTTTCTATGTGTGATTTGATGAGTGTTAAAATAAATGATACTGCTTTTGCCAAAAACAAAAGTAAAAAATAAATGTTCAAGGTCATCTTCCGGTGCTCTCATTTTTATTATTTATCCTGGAAAACTCCTAGCTTAATTTGCATGACCATCAAACTTAATTTTAATATCACTGATCCATTCATTTTTTATGTTAGACTGACATTTCCCAGGTAGTCAGACTGTGTTTGAAATAGGTTACACCCTACACAAACAATCACTAACTTTCAATTTAACTTTCACTTCAATTTCATTTCAATTTATTTGCAATTGTCAAAATTGTTAGGGAAGAAATGTTACGATTAACAAATCATATTGTTATTGATTGTTGATAGACAATAGGCAACCTGTGTCCTTGGAACAATCTGACAGCAGTTAGCCTAAACAAATCAATAATTAGACATAACGGTGGGATCCTACTAGAGCGGCGAAAAACATTCAGAAGCCTCGTTACCTTTGACTTAACACCGGAACAGCTGATTTTCAAGCATGCTGTGCCCTTTCCAGCGATGCAGACGAAAATCAGCTGTGCCGGTATTAAGTCAAAGGGAGCGAGGCAGGCATCTGAATGTTTTCCCTGCTCTAGTGGGATCGCGCTGAATAGGTCATAATAATTATATCGGGTATACGTTGGCTCACGGTCGGCGATCATGTCGGGTTTACGTTGGCTCGCGGTCGGCGATCGTTCTAAAACCACCGTCTTCCCAATGTCTTGCCGATTAGCTACCGATCTCCATAAGACATCTCACCGAGGCACTTTATGTCGGGCAGCCACGCGCGCCCCAACGTCGGCACGATCTAATTTGTTGTCTGGGTATATATATTAATGGAAATATGACATTGAAACAACGTTGATCTGACATTGTTTTGCTCATCGAATTAACGTTGAACCAACGTCAGATGCGTCATTCTTTCAAAACTAACGGAAAATCAACCTGAAATCAACGCGTTGTTTCAACGTTATGAAAGCAAACCAATTTTCGATTTCATTTAGCTTTGAAGAATGCCGCGTCTGACGTTGGTTCAACGTTAATTCGATGAGCAAATCAACGTTGTTTCAATGTCATGAGAGACGTCGTTTCCACGTTGATTCAATGTCAGTTTGCTGTCTGGGATGGGGCTGTAGTCATTACCTTTAAATTCAGTAATATCCTATACTAAATCTAAACTACATATCATTTGAAGTCTGACTATCTCTAGTTTTTCATATTTGTTTCATTGTTATTGTTTTTTATTAATTTGACTATTATTTCTATTACAACATGAACTGGTGCTTGCTATCCTTAACACCGGAGGAGAATTGTGAAATACAACATGAACAACAGCTGATAAAGGTAGCAATTAGCAATTGATTTGACTTTATTCACCTGACTGCTATATTTGTCACGGTGTGGGTTCAGGCGGAAGGAACAGGCAGAGTCCAGAAAGCTCCAATACAAGAAGGTTTTAATCATAAAGAACAGGATACAGGCAGGCGGAACACAGGGTAACAGTAACAACGATCGACAAAGACTGAAGGAAACTGAGGGAACTAAATACACAGGGGAATCAAACATAACAAGGTGGAAAACAGGTGTAACAGATTAACAGGACGCTGAACGGGAGGCTGATGAGGGAGTGAGTTCAGGTGTGGAGACGAGAGGATCCTGGGAAGTGTAGTGCTGGAGACGCAGACAGGATGGTGCAGACGAAGACTGTGACAGAACTCCCCCCTCCCGGGAGGCGTGACCTCACGCCGCATAACAGAGGAAGGAGGGGGGACGAACTGGGGGCTGGGCGGGGCGTGGCCAGGGCGGAGCAGGCTGAGGGCGTGGCCAGGGTGGAGCAGGCTGAGGGCGTCCCCAGGGCAAAGCAGGCTGAGGGCGTGGCCAGGGCGGAGCAGGCTGAGGGCGTGGCCAGGGCGGAGCAGGCTGAGGACGAGACCAGGGCGGAGCATGATGAGGGCGAGACCAGGGCGGAGCATGATGAGGGCGAGACCAGGGCGGAGCAGCTGGAGGGAGGACCCCTGGTGGAGCCGATGGTAGTGGGGCTGGCAACACCAGGGGGCCGACTGACAGGGGCGGAGCGGATGGGAGAGGAGACCAGGGTGTAGCTGAGGGACCGACGATGATGGGTGCTGAGGAGGGACTGAGGGAGCAAGGGGACACCGCAGGCTCTGGTGACAGAAGTGCTGACAGGGGCACAGAGGGACACGGTGAGGTCAGAGTGCGTGAGGGCTGACGGGTGACTGGAGGGAGTGAGGAGTCCAACTGAACCGGGGGGGTGACATGACGGGGCGGAGCCAAGGGAAGGAAGTCCAAAGGTGAAGGGAGGATGACGAGGGAGTGCAGGGAGTTCGGAGGGACGAGGGAGCCTGGCCGAGCTGGTGGACTGTGGGACCATGGAGGAGCTGAGGGAGGTAGCAGCCACGGGGGAGCCGATGGGACCGGGGCCGAGGAAGTGTCCAGATAGAGGAGGTGTGAAGCGAAGGCCGGGGAAACACGGACCAGGCTGGTTTAGGGGAGCTGAAGGGCAGGAGAGAAGAACGGGGACAGATGAGAGGAGGCGGAAGAGGGAGGCAGGGTGGGATCCTGGTCTCGGGCTCTGGCTGGACGGTCTCGGGCTCTGGCTGGACGGTCTCGGGCTCTGGCTCTGGCTGGACGGTCTCGGGCTCTGGCTCTGGCTGGACGGTCTCGGGCTCTGGCTCTGGCTGGACGGTCTCGGGCTCTGGCTCTGGCTGGACGGTCTCGGGCTCTGGCTCTGGCTGGACGGTCTCGGGCTCTGGCTCTGGCTGGACGGTCTCGGGCTCTGGCTCTGGCTGGACGGTCTCGGGCTCTGGCTCTGGCTGGACGGTCTCGGGCTCTGGCGCTGGCTGGACGGTCTCTGGCGCTGGCAGGACGGTCTCTGGCGCTGGCTGGACGGTCTCTGGCGCTGGCTGGACGGTCTCGGGCGCTGGCTGGACGGTCTCGGGCGCTGGCTGGACGGTCTGGACGGGGCTGGTCGAAACCAGCGAAGAGGAGAGCCCCGGCTCGGCGGGGCTGGACGGAACCAGTGGAGAGGAAGGCTCGAGCGTTGGAGTGGGGCTGGTGCCGTCATCGATGGTGTAGGGAGATCCGCAGGACACCAGCACCCACTCCACATATGCTGCGAAACTCCCCGGGGGACCGTTCCCGGACAACTGCGCTCTGGTGGCGGTGTTTAGGCCAGCATAAAGAAAGCTGCAGAGGCTGTTGTCCGGGAAGGTTGTGGATGGAATGAGGGAGAGGAAATCCGTCAAATGGTCCTCCAGGGACCGGTCCTCCTGCTCCAGGCAGAGAAGTTGAACCGCCACGAAGGAATCCATGTTTAATCCCAATTTGGGGGTCGATCGTTCTGTCACGGTGCGGGTTCAGGCGGAAGGAACAGGCAGAGTCCAGAAAGCTCCAATACAAGAAGGTTTTAATCATAAAGAACAGGATACAGGCAGGCGGAACACAGGGTAACAGTAACAACGATCGACAAAGACTGAAGGAAACTGAGGGAACTAAATACACAGGGGAATCAAACATAACAAGGTGGAAAACAGGTGTAACAGATTAACAGGACGCTGAACGGGAGGCTGATGAGGGAGTGAGTTCAGGTGTGGAGACGAGAGGATCCTGGGAAGTGTAGTGCTGGAGACGCAGACAGGATGGTGCAGACGAAGACTGTGACAATATTATTGGTGTGAACTGTAGATCATCTTTAAATTCAATAATAATGTATTCTAAGTCCAAACTACATATCATCTGAAATCTCGCTAAGTCGCTATCTCTAGTTTTAATATTTGATGATTACTTTTATTAGTTTGATTGTTTTTTATTAATTTGACCGTTATTTCTATAACAGGATGTTGTTAACCGCGCTGAAGGACAATCGAGAAACCCCTGACAGTAGCTAATATTGGTAACAAAGCACCTTTTAAATGAATGTTATCCAGATTATCAATGGAAAAGACACAACGCAAGGTATGCGATATATCATAATCACTGATTTCTTTTATATTAATTTGAATGTTATTATTTTTATTCATTTGACTGTTATTTTACAGATGTTATTTGTATTAATAGTATGGGTTGTTGTTATTAAAACCTCTTCAACGGCATCACTCCCATCGATGGGACCCATCCCCAAAACCATTACCTATTTAAATTCAGTAATATCCTATACTAAAGCTAGACTAATCTTAAACAAACCACATATCATTTGAAATCTTACAATCTCTAGTTTTTCATATTTGACTGATTGTTTTTATTAATTTGACTGATTTGTATTACCGGTATGGTTTGTTGTTAAACATTACCCATCAGCTATTACTATTATCAGAGACCATTACACGTAATAAGAGGACCTTCACATTGCACAACAGATCAATCGTGAAAAGTTTCAGACTTGTGTACAATAAGCGAGTACTCCAACCAGATTATACGACCTTGCCTTACGGGTTTTAACAATACTTTGAAAATGTGTGAAACAGGTGTTTTTGACTGCAGACTGCAACACCCATTTTCGGCTGTTATTAGTGGTCCAAGCAATAGCGGGAAGACTTTTTTTGTAAAGACTCTAATGTATAATTCGGACAAAATGTGTTCTGTGAAGTTTGATAATTATGTGTACATTTATACATGCTGGCAGCCTTTATATGATGAACTGTTACATGCTTTTGATATTAAATTCATTGAAAACATCCCAAAGAAATTGGATGATGATTCATTATTCCCACCTGGTAAAAGATCCCTATTAATTTTGGACGACGTTATGGGTCAAGCAGCGTCCAATTCTGAAGTCGAGAAGATTTTTACGCAATACATCCATCATAAAAATATGAGTTGTTTGCTACTGATACACAATCTATTTTTCCAGGGTAAATCTACCAGAACAATAGGACTTAATACAAATTATTTAATAATATTTAAAAACCCCCGAGATAAGCAACAGATAGGTGTTTTGGGTCGTCAGATGTTTCCCGGTAATACAAAGTTTTTTATTGAAGCTTACCAGGATGCA